TCGCGTGTGCCTCCACCTGTGCGCCAATAGTGAACCCACTCACCTCGCTCGAAAGGTCTGGGCTGAGGTCGTGTCTTTGAGAATACAGCTCGTCGCAAAGCCAAACTGTTAGCTGACTGATGGAAGGCAATCTCATAAGCGTCCTGCAGTCGCAATCTGTGCCACATGAGCGATCCTTGAGAAACTTGTCCAGCAACCACGGGATCGGCGTTGGTATCTCCAAGAGATGCCGGTAGTAAGAGGTTATCGCCAAGTACCCGCTGCGCTGGGCTGAATCCTCTGCTGTTGGCGAGTCGGTTCATAGTCCGAGCATTCTGGTATCCGGCAACTCGGGCACTCTTGTCGTCAATAATGTCCAGCTCGCGGAAAACCATAGTGACCATCTCCTCGAAGAAACTGATCTTGTTTTCAACCTTCCCATGTTGGCGATGCTCTTCAGGGGCAACTGGGATACATGGCACTCGGCACAACATTTCAAACTCTACGCGAAAAGGCGCGCCCTGGTCAATATGCATCCTCTCCGGGGTGAGCAGATCGCGTTGCCAGCCTTCCGTGAAAGCGATCTTCGCATGTACTGACGTTGGATTTGGCTCCCGATCTCCACCGCTAATCATCCACTGGAGTGATGTGAAGTTGGCAGCAAGGTCAAGCATCACCAGGCAAGCGCGCAGACTCCCACCCAAGTCTGGTACATACGCAGTGTCCATGCCCAAACACTGATTAAATCATATCCACTTCGGTAAGCTTGCAATGTGCTGGCGGTCGCTGATGAGAATCACATAGATCACACTTGACAAGCTTGGCCGCTGAGATCGCTGCTGGCGATCCTCCACCTGTCCGAATGCGTCGGGCAACCTCTTCAATGCGTAGAGCATGGGTAAACTGAATATGCAACTTCTTGATCGCTACCTCGAGTGCTGCCGGTACTCGACGCCGATCGGCGCATGTGGCCGCATTCGCGCCCATGATGATTCCCGAGCTTGATGTGAAGCCTGTGGCGGGTATGTGTCAACGGTGTTGGGAACTCCCAGGATAGTCTCGCCTCCTAGCTGTTGCTCAAACTCATGTTGTTGCTTGACACCTTCGAGAATCCACTCAGCCATGTCTGTTGTCCATATTGAAAACTCACGTGACTTGCCACCACGTCCATGAACTTGACCATGTCCTCGATCTCGTGAACACCGAACTTCAAGTGCATATGCCAGCGCCACTGCCGACGTCACGAATCTCGTTGGCTCTTGAAGTAGGCCCCCACGGTCATCTCGCAACTCAGACGCACACTGATCACATCGAACCCAAATAAATCCAGGTGGCTGCTCTTCCTCGATGGGGTTCCACACTTGTGAACACATAGGGTTCTCCAATAGCACACGGCGTCCGCGCTCCATTCGATGCCTGACAATTGCGAGCGCAAACAGAACATGCGCGAATGCCTGGGCTTGACGTCGCCGCCCCTCCTTCGGCGGAAAGAAGTTGTTGATTGCTGACAACGCGTCAGAAGGAAACGGCACGATCGTTAGATATGGGTCTTCAGACTCAAATCGTCTCTGCCTGCGCACTGGGCAATACTAGATCATCGCCGGTAGTGCGTAGATCTTGGCATTTCCCGGCTCCCGCACCAAACTCCGTCGCCAGACGAGCAACAGCACACTGACCACCGTAAATCTCCTCGACTACTGCCCCAGGGTTACGCAGACGATGTCGATCAACACGTAAAACGCCCCACGTATTTTTCATCTCTCGCGCATGGTCGGCTATCCATGCATCCACTTGTTTCTTCTGGGACTTCGCATGATGCCGATCTCTGCCTGCATGATCTTGCTGCTTTGCGTCTGCTTCGATTCGTCCTCTTCTGCTGCCCAGGCGCCCAGCGTCTTCGCACTGATGGCAGGTGCATCCCGATGCGTCGGTGTCTTCGGAAAGTCCGTGAGCTTGACCATCGGGTGATTCTTCTTAGAACGCGTGATCTTCACTTGCGTGTCTCAAATCGCTTTGAAAATCACCTGGTTGTGTTTCACGCTAAAGAGCGTGTCCAGGACGTCCATCTGGTCGACGCCCACGAGCATCGGCGCGTCGGAGTTCGGCAACCTCTCGGAAATGAGCGCGCAATCTCGTCCTTGAATGCCACTCGGCACTGCCTGAGTACTTTCTGCCCTGAACGGGGCAGACGTGTCGATGCCTTTAAAAATCGCCCGGCTGGGTATCTGCAGATCTTCTAGCTCGAAATGCTCAAAGTGCTCGTCGATAGCTCTATCGCCACCGACCGGAGCCAGAGCCGCAGTGCCCAGGCCCACGTTGCCTGGGGGCACCACCTGCTCTGCGACCATCGCGTCGCCTCACTCCTCGTCGACCTCAGTGATCGTCCTGATCGGGTCATCGGGCTGGCTCGTGATTGGCACGATCGTGTTGCACTCCTGCTGATGGCCAGCTCCCGATGCGATCATAGCCGCTGCCAGACCAGCGCGTGCCAGAAATCCCCCAGCGCGTCCTCGTCCAGCTCCTCGTCCTGATAATTTCGGCTTCCGGCTGGCTGCCTTCATCGTCTCGCCGCACTCTGGATCGCCAGCCCAGCGTCCTACTTCATGGCATGCACTGCACTTGCTGTGCTTCTGGAAAGCGCCGAGCTTGTCTTGAAGCTCCGTGGGGCGGAAACTGATCTTGCCATCGAAATCAATGTAGGTATTGCCTCGTCGAAAATTTCGGCTCGCCTTGCCTTGCCATATTTGATGAACTGCCGCTGCCGGCTGTAGTTCGATGAGCTCGGTCCCCCTTTGCCACGCCCACGTCCTTTCGCAGCGACTGCTCCAACTACCCTCTGAGCCTCTGCCGCAAACGTCTGCATTTCTTCCTCCGATAGGTCTGCGACGTCCACCACGGCAAAAGCCGCCTCGAGCTCCTCCACTGCCGCCGACAAACTAGCCATTTCATTGTCGTCATCCTCGTAGGTGTCTTCTCCGTGATCCTCCTCGGCGTCGTCTTCCTCGATCGCCTCCTCAGGACCGCGCCGAACCCTGCATTCCATCTGAACCGTCGTCCTCCGCCATCACGCCTGTGATCTCGGCCACCTCGAGCGTCGATGCTGTCGATCCTGGCTTCCGGCGTCCACGTCGAAAGTAATCTAAAAACGCCTTGTGCTTCTGCAGCGGGGCCACTTTCTCCACATGTGAGCGTGCACACTTGATGAGGATGTCGAATCCTTGGCCAACAGCTGTTTCTTTCTCCGCCGGAACGTTCCTCTTTGAAACTGCTCGGCCAGCGCCTTGACGCTGATCTTCTCGCCCTTTGTGCGCCCACGCTCGCCCACTGAGGCCATTCTTGACTTTGGCAGCGAAACCCTTCTTATTGTCTAGATTCTCCATGCTCAAGAATCCTAGCCGTACTCTCTCATCCCACTCTTGCGCTGCTGCTGCATCTCCATCAAAACGAGGAAAGCCGTCTTCATCCAACCATACGTTTGACCTTGGATCTCGATTGTTAGCCACCGTGAAATCTGAACTGCCTTCGAAGAAATCTGAACTGCTTTCGAGGAAATTTGAACTGTTCAAGAAGAAATCGTACTGCTGCGTAGACTGGATATCAGGCAACTCGTAGTCGTCACGCACACGATCACCGGAAAAACTCTCACCCCAACAATAATACGTGCCTGTCCGCAAAGACCAGGTCTTAGAAACAACCATGAAATAGACGAACAAATTCAGCATAGACCGTCCTTCGTAGACTGCTCCGCTACCAGTGTCGATGATATGGAGATTGACCAGTCGTATTCTCCTTCCGCACGTAACCTCCGCGGAATCGAGCAATATAGATGAGGTCGAAGACCTCGCAAAATCAGTTGATGGAATCAGGCAATCGCCGCGAGGACAAACATCTGATAACGTGTTATCGCTGATAGCTCAAAATGGGACACCCTGAAATCATTGAGAGAAACGGCCACAACATCTATCATGCTGTCCCTTCCCTCCAACTGCTTATCTACTGCGTTTCTAGCTGCGCTGATACGGGCAAAACACATCCATCTTCACACAGGACGGCCCAAGAGACCTCCAAGACGCTCAAGATGGCCTCCAAGACGGCCCATGAGCCCTCCAAGACGTCCTCCAAGAAGGCCCGAAAGGGTCAAAATGGCCTCCATACGGCCAAGATGACCTTCAAGATGCCCACGTGTTCCCCGAAGGCTTTCCAAACCGATTCGGGGAACACACGGTCCGATAGCTTGGCAGGTCTGGTCTCAACGTTCGGCCACATAGGCGATTCCAAAAAGGCACGGGACGGCGGTGATTCGCCGTAGGCGTCTTCGATCTAGTGTTAGGGGTGGTCCAAACAGCGGATGCGAAAAATTCGCTCCGCATCCAAGAAATAAAACTGTGGAATGTCATCCCTGCCCAGCCTCCATTCTACTGTCTACTAGGGGGACCGGTTACGCCCAAAAAGCACCTGGGAGAAGGCCCTACTCGACCTCCTGGCCGCCCAAGGTTGCCCAGAGATTCACACGGGGGCGTCGCCGCACGGCCAAGGCGTCTCAGGAGGCATCGATGGAGCTGCAGATGAAGGTGCGTGTGCAGCTGTAAGTGCGAGTGCAGGTGCAGGTGCAGGTAGGATGCACATGAAGACGCGGGCGTGGACGCGGACGCGCATGGCCGTGGACACGTACGTAGATGATTATGATGTGCGTCTGTGATGCATGTGCGGATGCAGATGCGGCTGCATATGTGGAAACACATGGCAGGTGGCAGTGGAAATGAAAAAAGAAACACCTTCATATCGGAATGTTGCGTGTCTGTGTAACCAACTATGCATGTACATACCGATGTGGCCGTCGTGGCCGCTTCGCCGCTCTTTTACTCCTCGTGCCGCCGGTTCGCGCTTTCCGCTGCCTGGACCGCTAGAGCGCGCGTGCGGACTGCTTCTGCCGCGCTGCGACGCAACAATGTGGCCACCGACGTGGACGTGAACAACAGCAGTGGTCCCAGCACGGTGAGAGACTGGATTCGGACCCGCGCCTGCATGTGGCCCACCTGCTGTCCTTCTTGAAGCACTGGTTCCCGGCCTCCTTTGCGAGGCGGGGATAAATCCATATCCACCGTCTGTGGAACCGACGTTCTGGGACCCCAGCGGGATGCAGATGTGGACATAGCTAGGCCCCCGAAGGCCCGAGTATATATCCACATCCACCGCCTGTCGAGGCATCCGAAAATCGATCCTCCAGGCGGTGGATGTGTGTAGATATCCCCACCCCAGATCCTTGCAGCACATGGACTCGCTGCAGTCCTCGCCGTTCGCCGAGCACAGCCGGTCCACCCAGTCGGCCTTGGGCCGCGGCTCCTGCGGCGGGGCCTCGCCCTCCGACCGCGGGCCCAGCTCCACGCAGGTCCACGGGTCCCCGTTGGCGTCCGTCGGGTCTGGGCCCGGAGTGCACTCCGGACGGCAGGTGGCCCAGTTGCGATGCGAGCGACGATCAAAGACGGGTCCTGTGCGAGATGGCACGATCGGCGACCTCACGCGGTGGCTTACGCGGGCCGTCCGCGCAGCACGCCAGCTTGCGCGCCAGTGTCCGCGCAGTTGGACCCGTTTTTTTGCGTCGCCCATGTGTCTTCTCGTAGCACTGCATGCCAGGCTCCTTGCAGCACCGCGAAGCCGTGCAGTCGTCCCCCGAGGCCGAGCAGGGCAGCGGTCTGCGGGGCGTGGTGGTGTTGTGGGCCTGGTGTGGGGCCGCTCTGCTGACGGTCGTGGGGGTCGTGCTGGTCGTGCTCGTTCCCGTGGTGTTGGCAGGGGCCGCGGTCGTGGCAACGCCCCGAGGGTCCGCCGGGTCCGCCGCAGGGTCCGCCGGGTCGTCTCGAGGAGTCGACCCTCGTGGGGGGACAAAAAGTCGGTGGTTCCAAGATGGGGTCCTGAGGGATGGTGTTCGAAAGACGAGGTGCCTCAAACAATGTAAATACACCCTTGGATTCCCTCCTATCCTGAGGGCCCCATCCCGCGGGACCACATCTTCGAACCACCGACAAAGTTGCCAGCACCGCCACGCCAAAGGCCGCTCCGGGGCTGCGTCCTGACCAGGATGCCGAGGCGCATCCAGCCGTGGGGGCGGCGGGCGGGCAGCGGTGCCGGTACCTTTTCTTGGCGGCGCGCGCACCATTGAACCCCGGCATCGGGGTCGCCGCCAGTCGACACGACGCGAACCTACCGTAGGAGGGGGGAAGGCTTCTTAGAAGGCCCGCGCCTTCCGAGAAGCAGCCTCCCTCCAAGAAGCCTCCCCCCCTCCCCCTACCCCCCACTGCGCGTGACCGACTTTTCCTCATCCGGCCTCGAGGGCCCGAGATGCTGGTCAGCGGCGCCACGCCAGAAGAGGCGGCGCCCGCCGGCAGCCTGGACTGCGGGGCGGCCGAGGTGCTGCTGGCGAGCGCCAGGGCCGCCTCCAGCCGGTGGCGCACCTCTGACCTGAGCGTGCAGTCGCCGCCCGCCCCGTCGCAGTCGAGGCCCATCCACGCCTCCCGCCTCGCCGCCTGGCGGTCCGCCTCTTCGGGTGTTGCTAGAAGTGCCCCTAGCTCAAGGTGCCCCCAGGAATTCCAAGGAGGCCCCCACGGCCTCCAGAACACCCCTCACGAGGCCCAAAAAGCCCCGGGAGCTCCCAAATGAGCACAAAGCTGGGGGCACCTTGGGCCAGACGCACCTTACGCAACCCCCGACCTCTGGGGGGACGCAAAGACACTGGAACTGTCATCGTGCTACTACAGTCGAGGCACTACCAGAAGGAACGCTAAATCAGGGACGAACCCCTTCTGGGCCCCAGAAGCGCCCAGGTACACGAGGAGCGACAGAGGAGCAACTACGGAGGGACCCAAGGAACAGCGAGCCCCTTTCGAACCCGAAGCGGTCCTATTTCAGCGTCTTGGCTGTATTACAGACGCAAACTTCGCCGGCCCGACGGGCCAAAGGCGCCCCAAGATTTGCGGTACGAGGTTCCGAACCATTCTATATTACTACATCGCGCGCATGGGATGGCCCATGGGGGTCCCTGGAAGAGAGGTACCCTGGACTTAGCGAGCCTGAAGCAGGTCAGAGACGAGTTTCGGTCTGGGGTCTGGGCATGGCCTTCACGACCCCCAAGAGCGCCCCACGAGCGCTCCACTGGACCTACAGGAGAGCCCAGGAGGGTCCGACACGGTCTAAGAGCGCTGCAATCCGCCCAAGGTGGTTTCTTCACTGTCCTGAAAAGCGCTCCCAGTGAGCTCCACGGTGACCCCAAGAGGCAAAAATCGCTTGTTTTCCGGAAATGTTTGCAAGATTTCAGCGTTCTCGCCTTTTTGGCCGTTCGACGCTCCAAGACGGACAAAGAGGTACCCAATGCCGCCCAAAGATTGCCCAAGATGCTCCCAAGAGGGCCCAAGAGGGGGCCAAGAGGGCGCCCATGAGGCCCCCGGGATGGCTCCAGAGGCCCCAACGAGGGGCCTGGGAGGGGGAACCCGAATTGAGGCTCCAAATCCTTCCCCGAAACGTGGCCTCCAAGATTGCCAGAAGTCCCGCAAGAGGTCTCAGGGGCCCCAAGACCCCCCAACAAAATATCCAAGAAGGCCCCAGGAGGCCCCAAGAGGGCCCCCAAGAGGCTCCCAAGCGGAGGGGATGCTCTTGAACTCTACGTTCGCATGCGTAGTCCGCCGACATCAGTTACCGCAAGGTGCCAGGATCTCTGAAATGTGCAGCTCTCTCTCTCTCTCTCTCCCTTCCCCTCACCCTGTTACCCTCCATGGGCGCCCGCAAGTCCGAATGCGGGCAGCTCCAAAGATCGCCCAATATGACCCCAAGGGATTCCGCCGACCTCCGCTTCCAAAAGGTGCCAGGATCTCTGAAATGTGCAGCTCTCCCTTCCCCTCACCCTGTTACCCTCCCCGGGCGCCCGCAAGTCCGAATGCGGGCAGCTCCCAAGATCGCCCCATCTGACCCCAAGGGAGGCCCGAAGAGCGATCCTGGAAGGGACGAGGATAGTTCCCAGGAAGCTGCAAAAATCAGCCCCTCCGTAGCACGCGATGGCAACGAATCAGGTCCAACAAGCCACAGGAGGAGGAGGAGGATGAGGAGGAGGAAGAGGAAGAGGAGAAGCAGGAGGAGGAGGAGGAGGAGCAGGAGGAGGAGGAGGGGGAGGAGAAGGAGGAGGAGGAGGAGCAGGAGCAGGAGGAGGAGGAGGAACTGGACCCCGAACAGGATCCCCACGACTCCCCACATGTCACACGGCGCCTCAACATATAACCATCACAGCTCAGCAGAGCCGCAGAGGCGACGAGACCGCGGGCAAGCGCCCGCGACGAGAAAAACCTCTGGGCGGGCAGGATGAGCGAAGCGATTACATTCCGCGACCCCCCTGCGGCCCCTCACCGTGTTAGGGCTCAAGTATATGAGATGGAGATGTGATACGCAGAAGGAATCTATACACCACCACCGTGCCAGGCCAGGGCCATCCTGGCCCTGGCACGGTGGGTACGCCGTCCCGGCCGAGGCCAGGAGGGTCTGTACACCATCCTGGGTCCCAGGATGGCCCTGGCCTGGCACGGTGGTGGTGTATAGATGCCTTCGTCGGATGTGATGGAGGAGAGGGAGAAGCATGAATAAAGGCATGCTAACAGGAGCTTTGCGCACTACGCCGGCCGAAGAGGACCGAAGAGGACAGCCGTAAGGTAGCCGCACCTCCATTCTCATTCTGACACGTGACAAAACATATGATATGCGCTCTCAGGTTCCTGGTGCGCATGAAACCACGAGTGAGACGTGCTCCGACAGCCTCAAATGGCCGTTTTCGCTCGGAACATCCGACGAATCGGTTTCGGAGGGGACTCTGAATCTAAACGAGTCATCGGCGTTTCGCTCGGGACATCCTCGACAGCGAGTGGTCTGCGCTCCAAGGGCCATTAAGGGCTCAAGTCGGCACACCCCTCACGCTCTCAACTGACCCCTCAGACGGGTCCCGGGAGCTGAAATTCGGGGCACCCCTCACGCACTTCGTCCCCCATGGACACCCCAAAGCCCGAGAATTGTTGCAACGATTGGCAACGACCTTCGTCGAGGCAGCATCTCTAACACCCACTGGTTGCAGAATCTGCGTGCAACTTTCCCCCTGCGGGGCCCGCCGCGACTCCCGCTCTGCGGGCTCCATGAGGAACGAAAAGCCCAAGGACGTGTCCCCCGACCCAGATCTAAGGAACGGCCGGAAGACCAGGGCCAACGCTGAGCATAAAGAGCTGCCCTTCCTGCAGCGTCTTGACTGCACCACTGCACCACCACTCCCTTGATCTCTCCCAAGGCGCGCTCTGACCGAAATCCCAAGGCGAATCCAGCAGAAGGAGGGCGACAGCGAAGAACACCCGAGTCGGCCTGATGTGTATTGTGACCTTCTTCTGTTTTTCTTCCCCGGGTAGCGGTCGTTACCGGGGGAGGGGTCGGGCGGGCGGGGGGCGGTAACGGCGGCAGCGGCGTGCACCCGCCGGGGTGCGCCCGCGCCACCCGCGCATCAATCGCCTGTGTGCACCACAGCATGTAGCGGGGGTGGGTCCAGACCACCACCACCCGGTACGATCGCTAGCGTCACCCTGGGGGGAGGGGGGGGGGGCCAGGGCAACGAACGTTACCCAGGGGAGGACAAAAAATAAACGCTCACCGTCTAAACTCTGAGCGCGCGCTGTCAAGGGAGCGGGGGATGAGTGCGCATCTTTGGAAAGATTCAGTGCAGTCCACCGCAGCCTGGCGCGCGGTCGTCACGCGGTCTTGCGATGCCCTCTGCGGCTGTTTGTCGTGCACGTGTGCATTTTTGCACTCAGCTTCTCTCTCTCTCTCTCTTTCTCTCTCTTTCAACCTCTGAGCCTCGGGGACCGCGAAGCCCACGCTGCCCCTCAGGTCCGCCACGGTGGCCTCGCTCGGCCCGCTCGCCCGCAGGGCCGCCGCCGCGCAGGCGGCGGCCGCCGCGGCACACAGCGCCAGGCGCGCGGCGACGAGGCGCCGGCGCCGCCGCCCGGCCCCCGAGGGGGAGAGGGGCTCGGCAGTGTCGAGGGTGTCGTCGGCGGACACCGGCATCCATGCCGCATCCACCTGGGCGACGACACGCAAGGGCGACCCTGGGCAAGAGTGACCTTTGGTGCGTGGCTCTTGGGTGGCCGCGGGGGGAAGGGCAAGCACAAGCGCACAAGGCATTACTACCGCATCGCGATCGGCGGTCACGGGACCCCATTGGGCCCGCACCAAAGATCACTCCGGCGAGAGGTCACTCTTAAACTGGGCGACGACAAGACATCTCGAGTATGGGATCGACTACAGAATCGATTTACCCCTAATTAAGAATTCGTGCCGATTCTACAAGAGATACGTCGAATACTCCGCAGATCTACCGAACATTCTGCGCAAAGTTCCTAAATTCGGCGAAAAAACAATTCTGGGGTAAATCAGTTCTGTGAGTCGGTCCCCCACTCGAACGGTGGTCTTACGCGAGACGGCACACCGACCTTACGCCGCGGCTGAGGCGGGCTGCCAGCGCGGCACGCCACACTGGAGACGAGGTCGCTTACGCGCGACCCTACGCGGGCAGCTCACGCGCCATTGTCGGCGCAGTCGAACCCCTTTTCCTTCGTCGCTCACCTGGAGCCTCCTCATGGCCCCCGGCGCCCCCAGTGGGTCAGCGAGGGGCCCCGTCGATGGGGGCGGCGCGGCCGTGCGACCGAAGAGGGTGCTCCAGGGGGCGCGGCGCGCACGCGCGCGCACAGGGCAAGGCACCCCTGAGCCTGCGGGGCCTGAGCCGCGATGATATTTCACAACAAGAAGGCAAGATGCCATACACCAGGAGGTGCGCCAGACACTGGTAAGACTGGACCTAGGGATAGAATACTATCGGACGACGCTGCGCTATGTTGACAGCTTCGCTGTGCGGACAAAATGCCACAAGGAAGCTTCGCCAGTCAAGTATCGAGTGATTTTCTAGAGGTCGCTGCAAATCTGAAGGCGACGCAGCAGCAGTGCGCCGTGAGGCTGGTTCATCCACTGATCTGCCAGGTGGCACTCCAACCACATGACTCCCAAGACTGCGCGTGCACTGGAGGGGCTGCTGTGTTGAATCGGAGAGACTGCATGCCGCTTCCGACGACTTCCTCCGCCGACATGTGCCCGCCTTTTGGGAAACCAGAAACCTGGACCTTTCCCGGGGTGCGTTCTGACCAGGATTTCGAGGCGAATCCAGCGGTGGCGACGAGGGCTTCCCAGGAGGCCCAAAGCGGGGAAAACGAGGGAAGTGTAGCGGTATGGGTACTTGTTCCTCCTCTGAGATTGGCTTCGCCGACACGTGCCCGACCTCCCTGGCGGGAGGCCACACCCGCGGTGGCCGCTGAACAGGGCCCTCCTCCTCCTCCTCCTCCTCTTCTTCTTATTATTATTATTCGTCTTATTATTCTTCTTATTATTCTTAGCATTATTATTCTTATGTATATTATTATTAGTATTATTATTATTATTAGTAGTAGTAGTAGTCTTCTTCTTATTTTCAGTAGTATTATTATTCCTATTCTTCATATCATTAGTATTATTATTATTCGTATTAATAGTATGTCTTATTCTTATTCTTATTATCAGTCTTCGTAGTATTATTAGGATTATTATTATTCTCAATATTAGTATTCTTCTCACTACTATTACTATGATTAGTATTTGTCGTATTATTATTCTTATTACATTATTAGTATCATTCTGATTATTCTTATTATTAGTAGTATTCTTATTATTCGTGATATTATGCTTATTAGTATCATTAGTCTTATTAGTTATATTATGATTGTGTTTCTTATTCGTAGTATTATTATTAATATGTTATTGATCGTATTGTTACGTTGCTTCTTCTTAGTATCATTAGGAGTATTCTTATTATTCGTCTTCGGCCTATTATTACTAATATTATTATTTGTTTCCGGTTATTCTTCTTATTATTCTTATTAATAGTATTATTATTAGTTTTAATATTCTTATAATGATTATTATTATCATCATTATTATTAGTAGTATGCTTCGTCTTATTATTATTCCTCCCCCTCCTCCTCTTCCTCCTGCTCCTTCTCCTCCTCCTCATCATCATCAGCATCTGTATCAGCATCAGCATCAGCATCATCATCATCAGCATCATCATCACCGTCATCATCAGCATCATCATAGTCATCATCAGCAGCATCATCAGCAGCATCATCCTATTCATGTTCATTGTCATGGTCATATTCATAATTATGCATCATCAGCAGCATCAACATCATCATCATCAGAATCAGCTTCAGAATCATCATCACCATCATCATCATCAGCAACAGCACTATCGTCATCATCATCACCATCATCGTCATTTTCATATGCATCATCATCATAATTCGCCGGCCCAACGGGCCAGAGGCGTGCTAAGATCTCCAGTAACTGGTTAACAATAACTCTACACTTCGCGCGCGCGGAGCGGCCCCTGGGGGTCTCCGGCCGGAAAGTACCCCGGCAAGGTCCCGGGACACTCCCGGCAAACTCAGATCAGAGATGGCTTTCCTCCTGGGTGCGGCCTTCCACGTTCCCCGGAGCGCGCCAAGAGGGCCCCAACAGGCTTCCAAGACGGTCCAAGAGGGTTCCGAATCACCGAACGATCGGCCCAAGACGCCCAACACGGCCTCAAGACGGCCCAAGAAGCTTCCAAGACGTTCCAAGAGAGCCCCGACCCTTTCGAAGAGAGCCCCAAGAGGCCAAAATCATGTATTTCCATTGGGTTTCTCAAGGTTTTTGGCTTCCTCGCCTTTTCGCCTTTCCGACGCTCCAAGACGGCCCAAGAAGCATCCAAGACCACCCCAAGACGGCCCAAGAGGCCTCCAAGAGAGGCCCAAGACCGCCCAAGAGGGCCCCACGACAGCCCAAGAAGCGCCCAAGACGGTCCAAAAGGACCCCAAGAGGGCCCCAAGAGGGGCCCAGCATGGAGACAACGATTCGAGAATCCGAGCCTTCCGCCCCAATAGGCCTCCTGGAGGCTCCAAGAGGCCCCAAAAGGCGACAAGGGGCCCGAAAGAGACCCCAAGAGGCTCGACAACGACTCCCGAGAGTCTCCAAGAAGCCCTCGAGAGGCATCAAATGAGATCCCTTTGAACGTCCACGAAGCCTCAGAGCGCCAAAACCATTGATTTCCATTGGGTTTTCAAGGTTTTTGGCTTCCTCGCCTTTTCGCCTTTCCGACGCTCCAAGACGGCCCAAGAAGCATCCAAGACCACTCCAAGACGGCCCAAAAGGCCTCAAGAGAGGCCCAAGACCGCCCAAGAGGGCCCCACGACAGCCCAAGAGGCGCCCAAGACGGTCCAAAAGGACCCCAAGAGGGCCCCAAGAGAGGCCCAAGATGGAGACCACGAACCGAAAATCCGAGCCTTCCGCTCCAAGAGGCCTCCTGGACGCCCCAAGAAGCTCCCAAGAGGCCCCAATCAGCGACAAGGGGCCCGAAGAATGCAAAAAGGAAACTGCAGAATGTTGTCTTGTTCCCTGCGATCGTATTCACGAGCCGCCACCTTCCGAAACAGAAGGTTCAGGCGGGCAAAGAATGGTTCCCGCCTGCGAAATCACCCCAAAGCCAGCCATCCATAAACAAAAAACGACCCAGCAGCACCCCATTGACAACGATCACACGGGCCCTCGACAGTCGTGCACCAATACGGGCCAGCGGAATGAGCAAAGCGATTAAATAATCATCATCATCAGCAGCAGCACCATCATCAGAATCAACATCATCATTATCATGGTCATCATACATCAGCATCAGCATCATCAGCATGATCGTCATCAGCATCATCAGCATGATCATCAGCAGCATCACCATTGTCACCATCATCATCATCATCAGCATCATCATCATCATCATCATCATCATCATCAGCATCAGCATCAGCATCAGCATCAGCATCAGCAACATCATCATTAGCAGCATCATCATGCTCATCATCATCATCAGCATCATCATTATCAATGTCATCATCATCAGCATCATCATGTTCAGCATCATCATCAGCAGCATCATCAGCATCATCAGCATCACCACCATCATCAGCATCAGATCATCATCATCAGCATCAGCATCATCAGCATCAGCATCAGCATCATGAGCATCAGCATCAGCATCAGCATCATCATCATCATCATCGAACTCGTCCCCCTCCTCATCCTCCTCATCTTCCTCCTCCTCCACCCCCTCCTCCTCCTACTCCTCCTCCTCTTCTTCTTCTTCTTCTTTTTATGTTTCTTCCTCCTCCTCCTCCTCCTCCTCCACCGCCTCCGCCTCCGCCTCTTCCTCCTCCTCCTCCTCTTCCTCCTCCTCCGCCTCCTCCTCCTGCTCGTTTCTCCTCGATCCTCCTCGCTCCTCGCTCCTCGCTCCTCCTCCTCCTCTTCTCCTCCTCCTCGTTTCTCCTCCTCCTCCTCCTGCTCCTCCTCCTCCACCCCCTCGTCCTCCTCGTCATCCTCCTCGTCCTCCAACCTCCTCTTCCTCCTCCTCCTCCTCCTCCTCCTCCTCGTCCTCGTCCTCGTCCTCGTCCTCGTCCTCGTCCTCTCCACTCCTCCTCCTACTCTGTGCCCTCGTCCTCCTCGTTCTCCTCCTGGCCTCGGTGCTGCCCTCTGTCACCGCCACTCTCCTTCGCCGACCCCGCCCCACCCCGCCCCCCCCCCCGCTCGCTCCCACCGCCGGCCTCCCTCGCCACGCCCTGCACCCAGCCGCCCCCAGGCCCCCGGTGCTGCCCCATCCCGCCGCCGCCAGGACTCCCCCACCAGCCACGACCCCGACGGTCCCAGATCGTCCCCAGCCCTCCCCGACATCCAGCAGCTCCAAATTGTTCGATGCGCGGGCGCCAGAGGTCTGGACCACTTCCCTGGGCCCGGTTATACGCCACGAGTCGTTTTGTTGACGGTCCCGAGGTCCGGCGAGGGCCCCCAGGAGGCCGAAAAGGGCAAACAAACAAAAGGCCGCTCCGACTTTTTGGGAGCGTCGGACTGAGCCCCCGACATCCTCTCGCGGCGGAGAGAAACTACACGACGGAAAGCTCTGCTCTTCTCGATCGTCCGCCTCCGGGGCCCCTCACCAGGCCCCAGGAGGCCGTCAAAGAAGCGACGCCGTGGAAGGCCCCAGCCCTCCGGGGAGCCCCGCTGCGCAACAAAAAGCACAAGCACGGCGGCGGGTATCCGGGCTGGTGTAGAACTGACTACAGTGGGGCCGCTGCAAAAAGGAACGGTAAATAAGGAACGAAGTTTGGACCCCAAAAAGTGCCAGCGTGCACGAGGAGGGCTAGAGGAACAACCACAGGATGACCTAGGGAACATCGAGCCCCTTCGTTCCCAAACTGCTTCTTGTTTCATCGTCTCGACTGTACCTACCAGACCACCCCAACACAACCCGAATACCCAAGTTTCGGGTTGGGGGGGTCCACATGTGTTTTTGTCGCGTTCCCCGACGCCCTCCCCACACCAGGACTGGGGGACCAATTGGAGCCTTCGGGTTGGGTAGGGGTGGCCTGGTGGGTGGTGAAGAACTGCCCCAGTGGTTCCAAGATAACCCCAGGTAGCCCAGCGTGGCCTCCAAGATCGCGCAGGATGTCCAAGATTGGCCGAAGATGACCTCCACCATGTTTCCAACATGCCAAGGGGGCCACAAGACGGCTCGAGGAGGCTACCGAGCTTCCAAAATCGTTCGAAAAGTAAGCGTTGGTCAATGATGTTTGCCTTCTCGCCTTCGTGGCCCCAAGATTGCCAAGCCGAGCCCCAGGGCCCCCCAATGCTCTGAGACGCCCTCCAATGCCCGAAAGAAATTCCAAAAAGACTTCCAAAAGGCGAGTGTTCAGGCTCCGACGGACGGGTCTTCATTGAGCGCACCCCCGTGTTTGGAAAGGTGCAGCCATGAACAGGGAGAGGACGATAAAAAAACATCAATCATAAAAACCGACCAATGGAATGAGGAGGGAGAGAGAGAGAGAGACGGAGGGAGAGCATCAGCAGAGAGAGACGGAGAGAGGGCATCAGCTTCGAGGTGGCCATGGGATTGCATTCGAATGAGGCGAGACCTAGACAAAAGAAGGAGTGAAAATGGACCCGCTGTGATGATGGTAGTCTATGCAGGTGAGGAACGGAGGAAGATGTGCTGTCACCCTGTATCAAGTGGCAGTGCTATACCAAGATCTCAGACCGAGTAGGGTCACCATGGTATGTGGAATTCCCGATGCGATGCACACTTGTCGTTCCGGCTCGGAACAGATGTGTCAGAAGGCAGCACCAGAAACAGACAGCTCACATCAGAATCGGGAGGCCTGACGAGCGTGGGGCAATACCTGAAGCGAAGATGATAAACACGTCCTATGCGAGTGGACATGGCGGCCTCACGTGGCGGCCTACGCAGGCCGCAAGCGCGGCACAACGCGTGCAGAAGAAGGCACGTACGCGTGACCTGGCTTGAGTATCCTGCACACGAAAAATCCACGCGCTCACCTCTCGTCTTCTCAACGCCGCTCAACTGGCAAGAGTTGTCGGGCGAAGGACGGTACAAGATAAACTGCTCCGCGATCGAGGGCGCCTGTCCCAGGCGGCTGGTGACTTTACACCCCAGGCCTGCCACCGCATGGTGTGGACTCCCCAGCAACCCTGGGGCAGCCGCCACGACCGCGGATTCGTTATGTGTCGAACCGTTCTTCGCCTGCTCAACGGGCGAGATCACAGCAGCACCGGGAGGCCTGACGAGCGTGGGGCGACACCCTCGCGTGGAACCCGCAGTAGCCCTGCCCGCCCTCCGAGCTGTGCGGCAGGCCGCAGGGGAGGCCCTCGGCGCCCAGCGCGGGGCAGAAGGCCAGCGACGGGCAGGCGCCCAGCTTCACGACCTGCGTCTCGAAGCTGACCCGCACGCCCCTGCCGCGCACCGCCGGCGAGGGGTTGAGCACCGCCAGGATCGAGCCCACGGTGGCGTGCCGGAAGCCCGCCCCGGCGTCCGTGGCCCAGTGCTCCAGCGCTCCGGCGTAGAGCACCAGCGAGGCCTGCCGCGACTCCCCGGCGGCCAGGTCCGTCAGCAGCAGCTCGGCGCACCTCTCGCCCCTCGCGTCCCTGCCGGGGGCGCCGGGCCTCGCGCAGAGCACGCCGATGAGCACGCTGTCCTGGCCGGCGGGCGGGGGCGCTCCCACCTTGTAGAAGGGCAGGAGCTGCTTGCCGCGCATGGACGCGTCCCACTTCTCCTGCCTGACGCAGCGGTCTACTATGCGCAGGCCAGACCAGCGCTCTGTGCTTGCATCATCTGCAGCCCGGCGCTTCTCTAGGTTCCGCCGCAATGCCTCCCGCTTCCTCTCGGCGGCGGGCGGGGGGGGAAGTGAGACAGAAGATGCCTCCACAGACAGCGGCGAGGCTTTTTCGGGAGCCCCCGCGCCTCCTGAGAAGTTGTCTTTGCCTTCGGGGAAGGCTTATTCGCCGGCCCAACGGGCCAGGGCGTGCTAAGATCTCCGGTAACTGGTTAACAGTATTAACAGTATTTCTAGTTCGCGCGCGCGGGGCGGCCCCTGGGGGTCCCCCGGCGAAAAGTACCCCGACCAACGCCCGGTCGCCGCCCGGTCGCCGCCCGACCGCCGCCCGACCGCCGCCCGACCGCCGCCCGACCAAGTCTACTCAGAGATGGTTTTCCTTCTGGGTGCGGCCTCTCAGGCTCCCCAGAGCGCGCTCAGAGTGCCCCAAGAGGCCCCCAAGACTGCCCAAGAGGCCCCCGAGACGCCCAAAGAGCGCTCGAAGACGCCGAAGATGACCCCAAGACGGCCCAAAAGGCCCCCAAGACAGCCCAAGAGGCCTCCAAGACGCCCCAAGAGCCTTCCAAGAGGCCTCCGAAGAGAGCCCCAAGAGGCCAAAATCGTTGATTTTCATTTGTTTTTTCGATGTTTTTTGTGTTCTGGCTTTTTCGGCTTCCGGACGCTCCAAGACGGCCCAAGAGGCCCCCAAGACCGCTCCAAGACGGCCCACGAAGCTCCCAAGACGGCGCCGAAACGACCCAAGAGAGCCCTCAAGACGGCCCAAGTGAAGACGGGACTCAGGAGGGATACCGAGAACTCAAAAATGGAGCCCTCCGTCCCAGAAGGCGCCCAGGAGGTCCCAAAGAGGCCCCAAGAGGCCTCCAAGAGGCCCCAAGATGTCGCCAAGAGGCCCCAGGAGACTCCCAGGAGGCCCAAAAGAAGCCCCAGAAGGCTTCAAACATGTCTCCCAGGCGCCCCCGAACGGCCTCTCAACAGACCCCAAGAGGCCCCCCAAAGAAGCATCTTGACGACGACTCTATTTCGCCCCATCGAGAGACGACCCCCAGGGAACTGCTTCACCATCAAAACTCCCCACGCAACGCGTCCGAACGACACCCGCCCCCAAGAGCGCAACATGGCAACGAACACACAGACAAAAACCAGCGATGCCATATCAAGGGCCGGCGGAATGAGCGAAGCGATTCAATAAAATTTGTCAGAAGGCGCGGCGACTTCGGAGCCTTCCGAAAAGGCCCGCCCCGAACAAGAGAGAAGGCAGCGAGACACCGAAAGTTTGTTCGCAACTACGTGTGAGAGGGCTGCTGTTTGCTGCTGGTCTTGGGATCCAGCTGTGGGCGTCTGTGCACCATCACGCCTAGCAAACTTCTGGGCACAAATGGCCTGCGGAAGATGACAACAATGATATTCCACCCACCTACCCCAGCCTAACTCCGCATGCATTGGCCCGCTCTTTCCCACTTTTCCCCTGGGCGCGCCGCCGATCCTGGCGACCTCCTCCCTGCGGCTGGCGGCGGCCGCGTCCAAGACCGCCGCCGCCGGCCTCGCGCTGGGCTCTGGTGGCGCCTCCCCGGCGCCGGTGGAGGCCATGCGCGCGCATGGGCGGGCCGCGCGAGGGCGGGAAAGAATGGCCCATCCTGCCCAGGAAACGTGCGCTTCTGACGTCGCGCCCAGGCCTTCGAAATCTACATATCTACATAGACATGTATATATACATACATACATACATACATACATACATACATACATACATACATCCATACACATACATACACATACACATACACATACACATACACATACACATACACATACACATACATATACATACAAATATAAGTAGAGAGAGCACGAGAGAGAGAGAGAGAAAGAGACAGAGAGACAGACAGACGGACAGGCAGACACACAGACAGACAGGCCGATAGACAGAACGACACACAGGCTGACAAACAGATCTAAATGTTCAAATTATGATTATAGGCGTAGGAGAAAACATATACAAACATCCCTGTATATATAATATATGTATATGTATATGTGTATATATATACACACATATACATATGCATATACATATACATATATACATATACATACATACATACACACTTATATCTATACATATACTTATACCTATACCTATACCTATACCTATACCCATACCTATACCTATACGACCACCCTTCGGGTGATTAGGAGGTTCGGGGGGGAGGAGCCAACGTCTCACTCGATCGGTATCACTATCGATATCACTATCGATCTCACGAACGGTCTCGCTCGATCGATCTCACTCGATCGAACTCACGATCGATCTCACTCGATCTATTTCATTCGTTCGATCTCACGATCGATCTGACGATTTATCTCAGAATCGATATCACGATCGATCTCACTATCGATACCACAATCGATCTCACATTCGGTATAATTATCGAAATCACCATCGATATCACAATCGATATTACAAACAAAAAAAATCATCATCATCATCATCATCATCAACATCCTCGTCATCAACGTCATCCGCATCATCTCCATCAGCAGCATCATCAGGACACCATGATCATCACCACCTCATCAACATCATCATCGACATCACCATCACCATCATCATCGGGGCACCATCATCGTCGACATCATCATCATCAACACCATCATCACCGGAACACCATCATCATCATCGGAGCACAATCATCACATCATCATCATGATCATGAACAACGTCAACAACATCATCATCAGCATCGAGACACCATCATCATTACAATATCATCATCAACAACATCCTCATCATCGGCACACCATCAGCATCACCATCATCATCACCATCGTCACCAGCAACATCGGGACCCCATCATCACCATCAACATCAGCATCATCACCATAAGTGGGACACCGTCATCAAAATCATCATCATCACCTCCTCATCATCTTCATGATCAACATCATCATCATCGGGACACCATCATCCTCACCATCGTCATCATCCTAATCATCATCAGGACACCATCATCACCATCATCATCAACAGCATCATCATCAACCTCATCATCATCGGGACACCATCATCATCATCTTGATCATCAGCATCATCAAATCGTATGAACCTCATTAACATCATCAAAACAGCATCACCATCATCATCGGCATCACCATCATCATCGGGGCACCATCATCATCATCATCAACATCATCCTCATCAACATCACCATCATCGGAGCACCATCATCATCACCACAATCTCAATCATCATCAACTCCGTCGACATCATCATCATCGTCATCGGGACACCATCATCCTCACCACTATCACCAACATCATCAAAAATCATCATCATCAACAACACCATCATCATCATCATCATCATCGTCATCATCATCATCATCATCATCATCATCATCGTGACACCGACGGGACACCATCGGGACACCGGCGGGACACCGGCGGGACACCGCGCGCCACCGGCCCCCGAGCGGGACACCGGCGGGACACCGCGGGGCACCGGATGCCGGAACGGAGAGTTTGGGTCCGGACGCGCCTCAGCTAGAGGAGACTTATTTCTCGCCCACCCACGCAGCTTCGCCTCGCCCGCACGCACGGCACGCACGAACACGAAACCGAAACCGATTTCCCTGTAGGGGGGCTCTCCGTCCCAGTTCGATCTCACCCCCTCACCTCCGATACATGTATATAATAAAAAAGACGTATATACACATGTAAATATATACACATAAATATGCATATGTGTGTGTGCAGATGCATGCGGTTAGTGTAATTGCATACGTGCATACATATAGATATGTGTCTGTGGATGTCGGCGTGTGCGCGTGATCCCCCATGCAGGCATGCGAGTATGCACGTGTACATGCATGCGTATATGCGTACACATATCTACATACATAGATGTATACACACTACTTCGAATAGAAAACAATTCAATCGCCACCACGCGTACAAGGACTGACCCGTTGACTGCCGCGGCGACGATGACCGATGAGAACGCCGCTCCTTTTTGTTGCACGCGCGCGGACCGAGCCAGGCGCCCGCTGCGCTCGACGAAATACGGACCCGAGAGGCACAGGCAAAGTCGCAGCGTGCGGAGCAGAGAAGGACAGCCCTGAAAAGGTCCCATGCAAGAAAAGACTACTAACTGAAACAGTTGGCGGCGCAAGAGTGGGCGCGCCTGAACATAATTGCCAATGGACAATAAGCTGGCATGGGGAAGCGCGGCACTCTGATTCGGGGCTCTGCTCGCGCACTGAAAACTGGACAGACCGCCCAGCCACCACGAACGCAAAGATTAACCAGTTGACTGCTGCAGCGACGATGACCGGGCGGACCGACGCTGCTTTCCGCTGCACGTGCGAAGACCGAGCCAGGCGCCACCTGTACTTGACGAGAGCCAGACCCGAGAGGCACAAGCGAAATCGCAGCGCGCGGAGCAGCGAAGGCAAGAACAGATGAGGTCCCGAATCCCATAAATAAGTCCGGGCCTAGCAAACACCGCAGGAGGGCAGAATGAGAGTCACGCGGCAATTCGACGCCGGGAAACGCTTGACCAGAAAGAAGCACCATTCACGAACGATGGTGGTCATGGCGAGCTTGGGTCTAGACACAGCATGCTTGACAAGTTTTGCTGCGCGCCGCAGCTTGAGCGGCGCACTTGCAACCGAGGGGGCTTTGGCCAGAGGAGGCGACGCGCATGTTGCCCGCGCGCGAACAAGCGCCCCTTCGACCAGAACAGAGCCCAGCGAGACCCTCGAAGGACCCAAGGCTCCACGCGGCTGACCTTGCGCGCTTCTCCCACTATGTGCCGACCTGGCAGCGATCGAGATCGCAAATCTGAACACTAGATGAACGAATCATAGCTGCGAGGGGTGTGGCATGCCACGCTAGCGAGCTAGATGGACTATCCAACGCCGCTGGAATATTGGGTTTCGTGCACAAACGAATGATGCGAAAGGTGGGATGAGGGGGAAAAAAAAAAAAAAAAAAAAAAAAAAAAAAAAAAAAAAAAAAAAAAAAAAAAAAAAAAAAAAAAAAAAAAAAAAAAAAAAAACGTCGCCCGTGACCAAAAATGCGGCCTCGCAAGTTAACAAAGCGTCGACGCCCATGGGCTGGGCGAGGGACCACAGCTGCCTCCGGGGCGCCCTCGACCGCGTCGCGCAGGGAGCCCCGAAGAACGCTGCGGCGACAGCGCGGCCGAGCAGCCCGCCTGCGCGCGGCGCGCGCTCGCGGCGATAGCCCGGCCGAGCAGCGGGCCACCCAGAGGCGACCAGGGAACAACCAAACCAAGGGCAGACAGCCCCGAGCGCCGGGCCGCGGCAGCGAGGCGCCCCGAGGCGATGAACAGCCCGAGCGCGACACGGCGCCAGCGCAGTGCCCCGCGCTCGACCGCAGCCACGAAGCGGCGCCCGAGGCGATCACGAACCGGAGCCGCCGCCTGGCCACGCAGGGCGGCCGGCCGCGGCGATCCGCTCGGCGGGCTCGCGGCAGGCCGGCGCCCCGCCCGCCCCCCGCGCGTCTGGGGCCCCGCCCTGCGCAGCCGCGGCGAGCCTCGGAGGCGCGAGGCGCTGGGGCCCAGCGCCGAGGAAGCCCTCCTCGAGCCGCAGGCAAAGGATTTGCTCAACGATCGCGCCGAGCTCGAAGACCTTCAGCGCCGCGTCCTGCAGCTCGCGCAGAAAGGCCGTCTCCTTCGCACGCCGTCGCAACGACCCAGCGGCCGCGGCGAAAGACCTGCCCAATGGATCTCTTCTGAGCGAGCAGGTCGCCGCCCACACCGCCGCGACGCACTCCGCGCCGGGGGGGGGGGGGGCTTCCCCGGGGCCCCAGCGGCCAGCGCAAAATACATGTTCAGCTGGGCCAGGTTGAAACTCCAGAGCGGCGCCCCTGGCCCCCCCGCGGGAGAGCCATCAAGACAAGCGCGAGGTAGAGGCCGAGGTCGAGGAGAACTCGTCGAAAGACCCCGCCCTGACTGCCCGGCCACGGCCGGCAGGCGGAGCAACAAGCTCCAGAACTGATGGGCGGCGCCAGCCATCACCGAGGGCAGCGCGACGCCGTCGGTCGCGAGCCTCTGCGCCTCGGCCTGGCGAAGGCACGCCATGGCCGCCGCAGGGGCCTGCTGCCGCCGACGCAAACGCGGCCGCCCCTGGAATCGGCGGGCGCGCGAGGGCAGGCGCGCGTCGTTTTCCAAGCCTGCATCGCCCGAGAAGCTCTCGGCGACAGCGCCCCCACCTGCCTCGGCAGCCCCAGCGCCAAGTGGGCCGGGGGTCAGCGAACCTACGTTCGCCGCGGCCGCCGAGAGACATCGGGAAGCGATGTGCTCGGCGAGGACCTGTCCCGCTGGCCCGCGCTGCTCCAGCCACGTTGGCGCCCGACGCAGCAAGTGGCGAGGGCGTCTCGGCGTTCGGGCGCGCGGCAAGCTGCTCCAGCAGCGCCGCGCTGGGAGGGCCCGCCCCCCGCCCGAGGCCGTCGCCGCCAGCCCGGCCCGACGTCTCGCCCGTGCCGACGCGGACAGCAGCCCCGCGCGCCACCCCCCTCGCGGCGGGCGGAAGGCGGGCCCCCAGCAGCACCGGCGGCGCGACAACCGCGCCGCGCCCTCGCACGGCGGAGCAGGCGGCGAGCGCCAACCACCCCAGCCCCCCACGGCCGAGGGGATCACGGGACCCCTCTCCGAGGCGACCCCGCGGGGGGCGAGCCTCGAGCCGGCGGCCAAGGGCAACGAGCGCGCATGATTAACGCGCGAACGTAAACGCTTCGAGCGGGCCAATCCTTGCGAACGCGACAACGCCAATGGGCGGTCGCCCACTAGGGCTACCACGCGTCTTCCGCGACAAGCGAGATGGCGACGCCGGCGGCGACGCGACGCAGGCAGCGCCTCGCCCTCCGGGAAAAAAACATCGGCCCCACGGCACACCGACTGCGCTGACACCCCCTCCAGAAATTCCCTCGCGCGACACGCGCGGGAATCTCGCCGAGCCCGAGGGTCGCTCCCGAAGAGAAGGTTGGAATGCATCCCGCGGCCCGCCAAATTCTGCAGGGGCCCGCGGCCGCTGCCAAGAACGCCCTGCCGCAGCCTGTCGGGCTCGATCAGCCCGCCGCCCGACTGCCACTCGAGGCCCTCCGGCGCCCGTCGCTGAGCCCTGGAGCACGCGCAGCAAAGAAGGGGCGGCGGATCGCCCGCAGGGCGCGAAGGGCGACGCGGTAACTGGGCAAGCGCAGGAAGGCGCGCACGAGGCCATGAGGATAGCTAGATGGAAACAAAGAAGGGATGGGCTCCTCCGCCCGAGGCGACACAGCGCCCAGCTCTTTTCACGAGACTCACAAGCGGTCTCGATGCTCGCGAGACGAGGCGACAGCGCCGGCGACCGGCGCCCGCCCTCGACCTTGCAGCGCCACTGTTTCGAGCAACGCCCCAGAGCGGCGCGGGCCGCGGCGGGGGCCCGGCGGCGCATCGCACCCGAGCCGAAGGTCGTCGCTGGCGACGGACCACGGCCAGATCACAAGACAAGACAGGGTGCAGGTCCCTGATGACGGTGAGCTCCTGGGCCGCTGACGCTCAGATCCCGCCCTGCCTCTCGCCATAGACTTCGACGATGCTGCAGACGCACCGGGGAGGGGCCAGCGCTCCCCAACGAATCATGGGCGCCCACGCGACGCAGCCAGGAAATACACGAAGCACGCGGCCACTACACCACCCGCGACATAGCAGCCCCGACACGCCGAGGCGCAGCCACCAGATGCCGCGGGGGATCGATGCGCAGGCGCCTGCCGCCCCTGAGGCTGGGGCCCGAGACGTCGGCGCCCAGCGAGGCGAGCTCGATCTCGCGGGCCAGCAGCCCGCGAGCCCAGAATTTCACCGGGAGCCGCTGCGCAGCGAGGTCAACCGCGCCCCTGCCCAGGCCGAAGGCGGGGATGTTGTCGACGCGGGCGGCGACCCCGACGGGCGGGGCGAAGGACATCGACCCCCGCCGGCCCATCCAGCGCCGCCGCGGTCGCGCCGCGGCCCCCGCCATCTAGCACGGCAAGGGCGGCAGACTGGCACGAGCGCAGCGCCCGAGCCCACGAGCGACAGAGCGCCCCGCGGCGACGCGGACGCGAAGGGTCGAAGTCGAGGCAGATCAGACCGAGCTCCTGCAGCGCACCTGCGGCGACGGGAGGCGACGCGAACATTCCTCGCGCCCTCGGAGGGCCTCAGGCGGTAGAAGGCGCGCTCCAGGTCGCAAGACGATAGATCCATCCCAACTGCAGGCGCCTCGACGGAGCCGAAGGCCGCCGCGGACGGCGGCCCCGCCGCGGGCGGGTCTTCTTCGCGGCGAGCAGGAGACCGACGGCATGGGACTGCCCGAAGTCCGCTGAAAAAATGTCATCCGCGCGTGCCCGCGTCGCGAATCACGGCCGAGTCGCAGCGCGGCCCTTTCGGGCACCTGAGCAACGACCGCCGCGGAACGCCGATCTCGACGCACATGGCTCCGCCAACCCACCAGCCACGCCTCGCCCTCAGCGAACGCATGTAAATCGACCCCCACCCTCCAAACGAGGAGCTGGAAACCAATTCGACCGTCGAACGACGCGCGCACTGCAAGCGGAAACTGCTCGACGGTCAGCCAACGACAACGCCGCGCAATTCCACGCGCGCGGCGCGCTGCTGCTATGCCCATCGACGTTTGAACTTGGCGTTGCCTTGTGATGACACGCGGCCAACGCCCACTGTCATTGTGGATATTCACGCGCTCGTGCCGGGGCAAAAACAGAAGGGCGCGTCGGCCCATGTCGGCGCTGGCGAGAGCCCAGGACGGCGCCCGGGGCCCGCCGCGCACGGGCGCGCATCGACTAGTTGAGATCCACCAAAAAAACAAAGCTTAGGCACCAGGCGAAAAGTTTGCACAAACTTAAAATCGATCGAAACTTCCCGGAGGCGGAAAGTCTCGCGCGGGAGAGCCCCGAAAAGCTTATAAACAAAAAAATGGATCATAAAGACACCTCCTAAAGAACTCTATATTTGGCGACCAGTTGCCTCCAGAAAAGCGCCCCCGATCTACACTGTCCCGTCGGCGGGGTCACGAGGGGGGCGACGGGGGCGGGGGCGGCGGCCCTCGCCTGGACAAGCGGCGCTGCCGCGCGAAGGACAGCGCCGCCGTCGCCGCAAACTGCACGCCGCGGCCACGGCACGCGCGGCCCCGAGAACGTCGGCGCGGGCGCGGGCGCGTCGAGCGGGCCCAGGACGACGCCGCGCGAGCGAGGCCCCCCTGCGGCAACTGCCAACAACCTCGGGTACAGGGCGCCTACACTTACGCACGTTCGCCACAAATTCAGAACGTTACAAGCAAAATCTATAGTTGTGGAGTCCGGGGTCGGTTTCCCACAGTTCACTCAGGCTGCACAAGGTCCACGACGCTGACGGGCGCAGCACCCGCAGAAGGCCAAGCGACACGGTCGCGGGCGCAACGGGTTGACGAGGCGGCGCCAGAACCGCACAAGCCGGCGGAGGAGATGAGCTCCTGGAGGGCTCCGTCTTGACATGACTAGCTCTCGACGCGGTGAACTCGGCTGGAGGCGCCCGCGAGTCGTCAGTGCTGCGGGACATGCGCACGATGACCTGGCGCCACCCCTCATGCCCAGATGTAGCGGACGAGGGCCGGGGGCCAGAATGTTTGAAGTGCAGAACTGGCAGCACGAATGCGCCCATCGCAATGAGCGCGGTGGCCGCAACGACGAGCAGAGCTGCGGCCTGGGGGCCATGTTTCGCGCGAGGGCTCGACAGGGGCGACCGGCAGCGGGAACGCATCAGGATGTCGAAGCGCTCCTGGATGCCAGGCGCCGCAATCATACCCGAAGGGGAGGGCTGGCCGATCGGCCCCCACTCGGAGCTCCTCAGCCGTTGGCGTCTGGGCCCCCGCCACGCTTGTCACGGCAGCGCCCGCGGCCTCGCCCGACCCCTCGCCCGCCGCCCCCGCGCCCGCCAGAGCCTGAGCCACCTCCCGCGCCTGCCCCGCCCGCGTGACCGCTCCTCACTCGCCTGTCGGCGCACCCTCCTCCGCTCGCCCCCCGCGCCTTCTCGGCCGCCACCCAGTCGCGGAGGGCTGGGGCCGCACGCGCGTTGCCCGCCAAGCCTAAGGCGCCGGACATCGGCGCCGCGTCGCTCCCGCGCTCGGACGCGGAGGCAAGCCCGTCGCGAAGAGGCCGGCAGCGCCATCAACGGCGGCGGCCGGCGCCACGGGCTCGACAGTCGCGATCGCGCGCCCGACCGCGTTGAGGGCGACTGCCGGGCCTGGGGCAAAGCCGAGCGTGCCCCGCCGACGCGGCAGCAACCTCGCCTGGCACAAGCAGCGCCCTGCCGCCCCGTCAGGCCCCGTGGCCCAGGAGGCGCCTCCTGCCGCCCCTCCAGCAGGGATGGCGTACTCCCGGATGTCAACCCCTTTGGTGGTGATCACCTCCACGCAGTAGTGCCCATCAGGCGTGAGAATAGCAGTACCGAACGTGGCGACTTGGCAGGAACGAAATGATCAGACGCTCATGCCAGATCCGTGCACCAGCGACGCGGACAGCTCCAGCACGAAGTCGCCCTCGTCCAGGCCGGCCAACGCGAGATGTTGACCAACAGCGGCGGCTGCGGCCGCCATCACTGGCCCATGGCGCGGACCCGTGCGATGGCAACCTGGTCCTGCGCCTCCTCCTCCTCCTCCTCCTCGTCCTCCTCCTCCTCCTCCTCCTCCTCCTCCTCCTCCTCAAGCCCCGAGCGGGCTGCAGCCGCCAGCGGGGCTCGCCGCGAGGGCCACGTGCCAACTGCAAAGCCGCCGCCGAACGCCAGCAGCACGGCCTTATGCATGTCTTCGTACGCAAACAATTTCATATACACACACCGTCTATATATATATATATATATATATACATATATATGTGTGTATGTATACCCTATACGACCACCCTGCGGGTGATAAGGAGGTTGGGGGGGCAGCCATGGGCAACAGTGGTGACTGTTGTTCTGACGATGCCTGTGGTGCGCATATCGACGTGCATGTCGATTTGCTTTTCGATCTGCATCTCGATGTGCATGTCTACTTGCATTGGAAAGCTCGCCGCAGGCGTTTTAAATACGCAACCCACGGCGCCTTACGAATTGCATTTGGATGTGCATGTCAATTTGCATTTCGATGTGCTTTTCGGTTTGCATGTCGGTTTGCATGTAGCCTTGCATTGGATAGCTCGCCGCAGTCACGGCGGGACACCAGGGGGACACTAGCGGGACACCGCGGGGCACCGTTTGCCTGGTGGAAAGACTTTTGGTCCGGCCGCGGCCCAGCCACAGGAGGATTTCGGGACACCAGGGGTACACTAGCGGGACACCGCGGGCCACCAGCCGCCGGAGAAGAAACATTTGGTCCGGCCGCGGCCCAGCCACAGGGGGACTTCGGGACACCAGCGGGACACCGGCGGGACACCGCGGGCCACCGGCCGCCAGAGGAGGAACATTTGGTCCGGCCGCGGCCCAGCCACAGGAGCAGTTCCTCTCGCCCGCCCACGCAGCTTCGCCTCGCCCGCACGCACGCACGTCACGCGCGACACGAACCCGAAACCGAAATCGATTTCCCGGTAGGGGGGGTCTCTGTTTCACGTCGGACTCATCCCCCAACCTCCGATACACACATACATACGTACGTGCGTACGTACATACGTACGTACGTACATACATGTATACATACCTACATACATACATGCATGCATACATACATACAGACATACAGACAGACAGACATACATGCATGCACGCATACATACATACCTATAAATACCAGAGTGACGGGAGCTCAACGGTCACTCAATGTCCCTGGGTGCGTGGCTGAAGTGAGAATCCGTGGTGAGGATTCTGCTTGTTGCGATTTTGTTGTTGTTTGTTGTTCTCGTCGTCCCCCCCGCGACCCACGCGCGAGCCACCCCGCGACCCACCCCGCGACCCACCCCGCGACCCACCCCGCGACCCACCCCGCGACCCACCCCGCGACCCACCCGCGACCCACCCCGCGACACACCCGCGACCCACCCGAGACCCACCCGCGACCCACCCCGCGACCCACCCGCGGCCCACCCCGCGACCCATCCGCGACCCACCCGCGAATCACCCGCGACCCACTTGCGACCCATCCGCGACCCACCCCGCGACCCACCCGCGACCCACCCGCAACCCACCCGCGACCCACCCGCAACCGATCAACATTGGTGTGAAGAAAAATCGGCGCCTGCGGCGGGCTCGTTTTATAATTTGTGAAACTTTGACGCCTGCAGCGGACTTCTCCAGAGTCTCGCAGACTGCCGACGTCCCCACCGCCCCCTCACTCTTATCCGCATCTGCGGGGTGCTACATCTATATGTGTGCATATGCATAGGTACACGGGTGCATACATATATGCATACGTGCATGCGTGTAGATGCATCTGTACATACAAATAGATGCACACACGATGCTCTCAGAATAGGTTGGGTGTTCCTCCTCGCAAGCAGGGGCGGCGAGGCTCGCATGAGAGCGCCAGGCCGCTGCGCCGCGAACAAATCGCCGACGACGCCGCCGTCGCGTCTGCCGACGCCGTCGCCGCAAGCACCGTCATCGTCGCCACCGCCGTCGTCGCCACCGCCGTCGTCGTCGCCGTCGTCGTCGCCGCTGCCGCCGTCGTTACACACGCGCCGTCGTCGACGTCCTTGTGGCCGCCGTCGTCGCCGCCGAGATGCTGACAGTATTGTACTTCGCGGTGCTTGCACATGCGCTGACAATGCACAACAAATGCGTTCAAGAGCGCCTCAAGAGAGTCCCAAGAAGCCCCCAAGAGGGTCCCAAAGGCTCATAGGTTGGCCAGGGACTAGCAGGTCTGCTCGGGCTGATGCCGAGCTTCGGTTTGATGGTTGTCATCTCTTCTTCTTTGCCACTGCATGTTCTCACACTTCCCTGCTCAAGACAGCTGGCCAAGAAGTCGGTTCTGCAGGGGCAGGTGGGGATACGTGAAGCGTAAGAGTTTGCTTTCTCATCACCGTGCAGGAAAGTTGCAAGTCAGACTGTCAGGCCGCGCTTTCACCTGATGCCGCCAAGCGTTGCAGCCTGCGCTTATCCGCCTCGCGCTTGTCCGCGACCTCGCAACTCTTGATTTTCGAAGAAAGAAAACGACATGAACATCAGTTTTCGGAGCTCCCCGCCAGATCACTTGGATCGGCGCTGCCCCCCCCCCGATGCGCGAAGCGCGCCAGGAGCGGCGCTGGAGGCGTCGGCGACGCCACCGGGGGGGTCCAGCGCCGATCCCAGAGATCCAGCTCGGATCTCCGAAAGTGTATGCTTCTGCCGGCTTCTGTTCCTCAAGATGTGGCTCTGGAGTCTGAGGAACATCTCGTTGAAAAGACCGAGCACCTCGCTAGTATCCTGCGCGATCGTGTCGATATCCTGCTCGAGCACGCGCAGTTCCGACGCGAAGGCGTAAACTTGCTGGTGAGTGTGGTAGCACCTGCGCGACGAAAAGGGATGAGCGTTACGCGAGAAGACACAACGTTAGGTCGGTCATGTCACCACAGGCGAATGTTGGACGAAACCAAAAAAATAGTCAAAAAATAAAAAAAAAAAAAAAAAAAAAAAAAAAAAAAACGTCACCTGACTATTTTTGGACTATTGATGAATATTCCTCCTGGAGAACAACGTAAACATACCGAAACGCCGCGACGTAAAAAGAGAAAGCTCACACTTAGGTCGGGCGTGCCCCTCTACAGGCGGGTTTTCGCCGATATATATATAGAGATATATACATATATGATATACGTATACACATATATACACATATCTCTATCGTTTTTATATGGAACCAAAAAATCGTCCCTGGACTATGTTTTGACTAGACCTCCTGTAGAGGGACAGGCCCGACGTCAAGACGATAGCTCGACAGCTGCACACGTCCCTTGGCGAGCGTACGTGAACTCCTTGATCGTCAGCTGGGAGAGAAGGGCGCTTGCGCGCGAGCTCACACTTAGGTCGGGCGTGCCCCTCTACAGGCGGGTTTTCGCCGAAACAACAAAACTATATATATAGAGATATATACATATATATATATACATAGATATACGTATACACATATATACACATATCTCTATCGTTTTTATATGGAACCAAAAAATCGTCCCTGGACTATGTTTTGACTAGTTTTGAAGATTCCTCCTGTAGAGGGACAGGCCCGACTTAACCTTACGCGGGAAGCTCACGCGCGGGTGTCCGCGCAGACGACCCCGTTTGCTCCTCCGCCGCTCGCCTCTCCTGGGAGCTCGACAGCTGCTTGCACACGTCAATGATGTCCTTGGCGCTCGCGGAGCCCTTCATGCGCCGAATGCCGTTCGTGAACTCCTTGATCGTCAGCTTGCCGTCCTGGTCCGCCATGTCCAGGATCTCCCAGGTGTCCTGCAGGTCCCTCCTGGCGCCGCGAGCCGACAGCCACGTCCACTGCTGCGCCGGCGTCCTGCCCAGGATCTCCCCGGAGAACGGTGGAGGTGGACACCTTCCCACCCTCAAGAGCGGGCAGACATCCACATCCGCCGAATCTCGAGAAGCAACTCAGATCCCGGGGCATGGCTCCAAGCAGTGGATGTGGATATGCTCTTGCGGTGGGCTCCTGCTCAGATCCAGTATCTGTATCATGTTGCAAACCTTCGGGTTGTCCAGCGCCCCGAAAAACTCGTATTTGTTCAGATCGCCCGAGCCGTCCTTATCGATCTCGAGGAAGATATCGGCGAGCATCTTGAGCTCGTCCATCTTCTCGCGTTGAATCTCCTTCGCCAAACTCTCTTGGTCCTGCTTCGCTATCGCGAAGGCTGTCTCCACAATCACCGCGGTGATGAGGTTCCAGAACACGAAGACAGTCAGGAGCACGAAAGCGATGAAGAATGGGCCGAGGTGTGGCTGCTTCTCCATCACCGGTCTGACGATGGAAAAAAAGTACGTGTCCATGGTCGACATCTGGAACATGGTGAAAGTTGATTTCATGAGATCACCAAAGAGAGACTGAATGTACTCGTCGTCCTCCCAGACGTCGCTGTATCCGATCAGCGCGGTGGTCATCACCCCAAACACGTAAAGGATGACATAGAAGATGACGAACACCCAGCACAGGGGCCTCACGCAGATTATCAGGCCGTGGATCAATATCCACAGCTCCCTGAACGTATCCTGCAGCCTCACGGAACGCACAAGCCGCACCAGCCGCAGTGCGCGCAGCACGGTGAACATCCTGAATTGGCCGATGTCGACACCGAGCGGCTCGAGCACCCACTTCATCAGAATCCCAGTCAAGAACACCAGCAGCGTGTCCAGGAAGTTGTTCAGCTCGAAGAGCCACGTCCACCCGAAAGCGACTAAGCGCAGGCACCACTCGACGAAGAAGAGCAGAACAAAGAGGTGCTCAACGAAGTTGAAGGCAAACGTGGCGGTGCCTGTCATGAGAAAGAGATACCGATACCGCTACTCCTTGGACCTCTCCTGGGGTTCGTCCTGCCGTGGCGACAAGAGCCCCCCAGGAGACCCTAAAAGCGAAAAGAGATATAAGGGTATCGGTATCTGATGTTGTTTCTGCTCTGAGTGCCAGGCTCCACACTAGCTTCCAAGCCGATTGCCATGCAATTCATGATAATCAAAAAAGCGGTCATGAACTCAAACTGCACCGAGACCACCATGGCGAACAACTCCGGAAAAGGGTTCTGGTAGTTGCTGCCTGGCAGACGCCTCTCGCGCTCCTTCTGGATGCGGTCCTGGAGGACCAAGTGGCAGCACAAACACAACGACATTCGGAGGTTCGCACAGACTTCTTGGGCCGGCGCTGGACCCCCATTGGCAGCGCATGTGGCGCCATCCCAAGCGCAATGCACGAGCCAGGGAAGGGTGGTCCAGCGCCGACAGAAGAAATCCGCGCAGACCGCCCCAAAGTGAATTGATACGCGTTTTTGTTGTCCCCCGAGGTCCAACAGATCAGTGATGCCGCAGAGGTCGAAGAGAACCTCGACCCACGCGGGAGTTTGGAAGCCCGTCATCAGTTGCTCCTGGCGACTCAAAAAGGTACCAATGCCGATGCGTTCTGAGCAAAACTGCGAAGCGAACCCAGCCGTGGCGGCGAAGGTGTGCCAGGAGGCCCGACAAAGCAAAAACGAAGCAAGGATAGAGGTATCCGGAGATTCTCCTCCTCTGAGCTCCTGCTGTTTGTTCTGCTTCATGTCCATCTCGGCCTGCAGCATCTGGGATCCTATGCTGTGCTGCGATTTCGAGTGGCTCAGCTCGGCGCTTGCCAGCCCGAGGCTGCTGGTGCCCTGCAAGCTGCCGCCGGTGTCCTGCGCGCTCACGATGACAACGACGACGACGACCACCACCACCACCACCACGGCGACTACGACAACGAACACGAGGACGACGGGAAAAGGAGGCCAATCAAAGTTAGGTCGGGCATGTCCTCCTACAGGCGGATTTTGGGCGACTGTTGCTTATATCAAAAACCAAAAAATATTCAAACAATGATTCCAACATGTTTATTTGTCTTTATATGTTATGACAGTCATGATGATATATCCATATATATACATGATGATAATAACAATGATGCGAATACTAATACAACCAATAATAATACTAATACTAGAAATACTGATCCTAATCGTATTAATAATAACAATAATAATGTAGTTGTATCTATACACATGCTAAACTATAGTTGGATATTCCTCCTGTAGAGGGACAGGCCCGACTTAAGATCAAAAGCAGGCAGCAAGGCAGGATACCGTTCGAGCCCTGTGGCTTCGGACGAGGACGAAGAAGCTTTTCGGAAGGCCCGAGGCCTTCTAAGCCTCTTGAGAAGGACCGCCCCCTCTGCCTTCCCCCCTGTCGGGCAGACATCAGATTAGGTCGGGCATATCCCCCTACAGACAGATTTTGGAGGAAAAACAAAACACATTCAAAAAAGCTCACAACCTACAAAAACAATCGAAAAATCGTCCCCAGACTACGTTTTGACTATTTTCGAAGTTCCCTCCTGTAGAGGGACATGCCCGACTTAAACGTACACAAGACTCGGGTTCGGGTGACTCGGGTTGGCCTGACAGGGTCGCCAGGAAAATGACGAGACCCAGTCTTGAAATTTGACGCGAGCTCCCGCTGCAAACATCCTACGAAAACTGGACCGTCCGAATCCAGGATGGGGTCGTCAAAAGGCGTCGGCAAACCCGGGACCACGGCGAAACAATCCCCAGGCGATCTGGGCCGCCAGCCGCCTGCGAGCCGCGACAAACGACGTCGACGACGACCAACGGCGGCGGCGGCCTGCGGGCGCAGAGGCGCCCGCGGGCCACTGGAGCACACGTAGAGGAGGAGGTCGAGGGAGATAGAGGAGTACAAGGAGGAGGAGGAGGAGGAGGAGGAAGCGGGGGAAGAGGGGGAGAAAGAGGAGGAGGAGGAGGAAGAGGAGAAAGCGGGGGAGGAGGAGGAGAAGGAGGAGGAGCAGGAGGTGGAAGCAGCGGAGGAGAAGGAGGAGGAAGGAGGAGGAGGAGGAATAGGAGAGGGAAGAGAAGGAAGAGGAGGCGGGCGAGGAAGGAAGGCGAGGGGGCCCGGACGACGACGAGGACGACGGCGAGGACGAGGACGACGGGACGGCGGTGGCGGCAACGACGACGGCGGCGGCGACCTGTGGGCGCAGGGGCGCGATGGGGGTGCTGCCGCCAGCGACGGAGAAGCGGGCGAGGGACGGGCTGCCGCCGCCCAGCCCGGGCGCGCCAGCGCCCTCCGCGCCCAGAGTGCCGGAACCGCCGTCGGGCCACCCGAACCCTGGCGGGGGCGGGCGCAGCAGGAGTGGAGGGGAGGGGAGGGGAGAGAGGGCAACGAAATCTATATAGATCCACTGCTCCCTAGCCAGGCCCATCCTGAACCCAGCAGCAGTGTGTACGCCACGCCCTCCTGGCTTTGCGCTTGGCCGGGAGGGTGTGCACGCAGCTCATGGGTTCAGGATGGACCCGGCCATGGAGCAGTGGATATGTGTAGACTTCGGCGCCCAAGCAGAGGTGGGGACGCACATAGACCACGCTAGGCGGTAGGAAGGCATGGTTGGCGGGATGGTCACTATTATCAGCCATCCTTCTGTGAGGGCAGGGTGCAGGATACAAACTCAGCAGATGTCGTATCATGTACTGTTCTTCCGTACAGTAGGGGCCCGACCACAAGAGACCTTCCACAACAAACCCAACCCTGAGACCCCAGACGTCCATGGATTTTTGGTGCGGGAATGTCACGCTCTCCATAGCAAAACCATCGAAACCCAGGGCACCCTGGAGGCAAGCATGGTGTTTCTTGGCATGGCCCAGCCTCAGAGCTGAGGGCTAGCAAAGTCGAGTCCACGCTCCCAACGCGTGGGAGGCAGCACGGAGTGATGCTCGATCACATTTGAGATTGCGAGGCCAAAAATAAGCGGGGAGGGGAGGGGAGGGAAGGGGGCAGGGAAGGGGGAGGCGGGGAGGGAGGAGAGGTGAGGTGAGGGAAGCTGTTGTTTTACCAACACAGGCCGCTTCACCTCTGGTGATCTTCGGGCCCCTCCGAAGGGAAAAGGGACCTGACTCCTCGACGTTGCACGCAAGAAAAAAGCGTCACGTGTAGACCCTCAGGAGACCAGGACCGGACGGAGCCAGGAACCCTGACCTTACGCAGGCAGCTCGGGGAAACTTGAAGGCCCATGCACACGCGCACGGGCCACAACAATAAAAGCCTGGCGCCGTCAGGTACAGCCAGCTGGCCGCGGCTCGGGTGGCCAGGCCAGCCTGGCAGGCACGACCTCCAGCGGGGGGGCGCGCAGGAGGAAAGGGAGAGGAGGCGCAACCTGTATGGCGACGTCCTCGCCACAAGCTGAGCGAGCGCTCGCGCGGCCATTAAGACGATCAGCACGCTGCAAAATGCCGCCCGTGAATGAAACACCACGGGCAACACGAGCCAAAGTGCCAAGAGGGGCACGCTGGAGAAAACTCCAGGCGTGCCAAAGATAGAGCTGCACGCTAATCCCAATCACCTGACAGCTCGGTACTGGCACGGTGGTGCTGCGCGAGTGGGGAGGACGGGGCCACCAGAGGTGCCTCGTCGTACCCCATTCCGGAGTCTATACGCCAACGAACGACAGCTCGGCGGCAAACAGGGATGAGTTAGGCTGCATTGGGGCCCCTCCCGAAGCCTCCGCTCCAGGGGGAGGTGGGGAGTAGAAGTCAGCGCGGAGGAACCGAGCTGCTTCTTCCCCCTTTTCAAAGTCGGGGGGGCAGCCTGGGCCTCCACCAGCCTGGCGAAGGGGCACGACAGCACTCGGGGGGTTATCTCCCGATACTGGCCACTCCTTCCAGGAGCCAAGCTCAAACATGATGTGGCGAAGCTTGGGGTGCAGCCCTCGACAGATCTGGGACCAAGCATACTTGGCCCCCGAGATCTTCGGGCGTAGTCAACAAGTTCTTGGCGCTCCAAAACCCACCAGCCCATCCAAAACCGACGCCCAAGCGAATTGAGACGATCATGGAAGAGTAGGAGCAAAACGGGAAACAGTCGTTGTCGTTCGAGGACGGAGGAGGAGGGAGGGAGGAGGGAGGAGGGAGAGGGATGATGAATTTGCGGCTAAGGAGGAGCAGCAGGAGTAGCAGGAGGAGGAGGAGGAAAAGGGCCAATAGAAGAGCCAGAAGCCTTTCGAATACCTCTCGGAGTCTCGTCAGATGTCGCGTAACAGTTTGTTGGAAGCCTCTTGGGGCGTCTGTGGGGGCATCTTGGCGGGCCCAGGGCCGTCTTTGAGCGTTTGGGGTGCCTCGGGGATCCTCTTGGGGCCTGTTGGGGGTCCCTTGGGAGCCTCCAAAACCTCTTGGAGGCCGTCTCGGCACCTCTTGGGGCCGCCTGGGCGCCTCTTGGGGCCCTTTTGGGGCGCTGTGGGAGCTTTGGGAGCTTTGGGGCCGCTTGTGGAGCAATCTTGGAAGACATCGATCAAAAGATAAGGAAGCTTCAAAGTAGCCTTGCCCTTGGAGAGTGCCTAAAGTCGTCTCTGAAGGCGTTCGTGGGGCGTTCTTGGAGCGCTCTTGGGCGTTATTGGGGCCGTGTTGGGGCTCTCGTGGGCCCCTCGTGGGGCCCTCTTGGGCCATCTTGGAACCACCTTGAAGCATCGGACGGCCATCGGAAGCAACAAAAAAACGAGAAAACAAGAAACATGGTTTCGCCCTGGATTTGGGAAGGATGCTGGCCTCTTCGGGCCCTCTTTGAGGAACTCCTTGGCCTCTTGGAGCCGTTTTGGGCCGGTCTTTGGGTCGCTTGGAGCATGTTGGAAGCAATGTTGAGCGATCTTGCGCTATCATGAGCCATCTTGGAAATTATTTCGGGCTCTCTGAGCCGCTCTTGGAGCCGTCCTGGGCCAGATTGGACGTTCCAACCGTTCGCGACTGGCCGCGCCCAGCTCCATGGGAGGGGGCAAGGTGGGAGGGGTCAAGAGACCTTCCTAGATAGCAAGCCGCCTAGCGCACCCCCACCCGCCCTCACAACACAAAAATAACACCCGAGCCTCAGCATGCTAAGCGGTCGTCTTTAGATGGAAAGCTCTCGGGAATCAAAACCGAGCCCATGTGCGCGACGCTGGGGCGAGGTGCGCCACGCGCGCCAGGCGCGCCACGCGCGCCAGGCACCCCTGGGG